TAATTAAAAATTCCACGCTTCCACAAACCCCCCAAACTCACTGAGCATCCAGATCCGGGTGATCCGAATCATCCGGTACCAGGAACTGGCGGGCGATGTGGTTGTACCCGGACATGACAGAACCGAATGTGTACAGCGCTTTCCCGCCCACAGACACATCGTCCAGGGCATCTCCGTCACAGTCTCCGCACAGACCCCGGGTCCATCCCCGATACACGCCCGGCATCTCCACAACCGCCTGGGGAGGTTTTAGGTTAGACTAGTTTTAGTAAGAATTTTACGGCACTTTTAACACAATTAGGCCTATAAGTGCCGAGGATTAGAATATCAATTTTAGTTAAGAGTTTTACAGCACTTGTAACACAATTAGGTCATATAAGTACCAAGGATTAGAGTATTACTTTTAGTATGAGTTTTACAGCACTTGCGACACAATTACATCATGTAAGTGAGTACCGAGGATTAGAATTTTAGTTTTGGTATGAGTTTTACGGTACTTGCAGCACAGTTAGGTCATGTAATGTGGGAATTGTAACAAACTGAGCTGAACTTTACACTTAGTATAACATACCGGCACATCATAATTACAATGTTCTAAAGTTCTTTCTGCTCAGTACCTCGTTTTGTTGACGCCAAAGATTTTGCGTTTCACATCATGTCAAGCTTTTTCGATTGCAATTCTTGGAATATCTTGAAAACGATTCCGAATAATCTTACGATTTTGACAGTGCAGAGAGAACATTTATTGGTTTCTGACCTCATGGTCTTATGCACCTCAAAACAACCAAAAATGTCAGATAGAACTTTGTAATTCTGAGGTAGCGATACGAACAAACCAACTAGCAAACCAAAACATTAGAAAAAGACGAACAGACTTGGTTGATGGGATCCAATTGGGGTAACGAGAAAAGATGAAAGATGTGACAGGGAGGAAGGAGCAGATTATTCGAAGGGTTGCAGGAGTATCATCATCATCATCATCATCATCATCATCATCATCATTATCATCATCATCATCATCATCATCATCATCATCATCATCATCATCATCATCATCCGGTGCCTTGCCTACTGGCGTAAGAGATCAAGGACCTCCACTTCACTCTGTCATGCGTCGCAGCGATGGTGTCTGTTTTTCTGGCTGTTGCCAGCAATGTTGTCAACTTTTCCAGTATCTTTTCCTTCTGTCTGCCTCTGCCTCTCATTCCATCAAACTTGCCTGTTTTTACAATATTCTCCAATGTCTCTTTCCGCATTGTGTGTCCAATGAACTTTGCCTGCTGGGGAGTATTCTGAGTTAAAAAGGGACGTAAAACAGTCCTACTCCTCACCTCTTTGTCTCCGTCGTAAGAAATGGTGACGTTGCAGGCGGTAGTCACGTTGATCCAGGCGCCATCTTGGACCACCACGGCATCACGTGACACAAAGTCTGGGGCCTTCTCTTCTCCGTTGAGCTGTGGGGGTGGAGTGGCGGAGGTGGGTTTTTTTTTATTAAGGAGGGGGGTTGTTAGGGGTTGGTTGGTGTTGAAAAAGGTTTGGGTAAAAAGA